AAAGCCCTTCTTTAAAGGGAAGGGAGGAAATGCTTCCCATTATGATTAATAGGAGTCCAGGCTTGCTGCATTCCTCCCAAACTTAAAGAATATAGCTAAATATAGAAGAGGCACAAGTGAGAAATAGTGGTTCAAAACATCATCTTCCCTTTTCTCTGTCTCTTAAGCTACAAACCTATGGAAACTAATAAAGGTCTTCACTGTCACAGGTGATGCCTTGAGCTCTCAGATACTTTTCTGAAGGGGTAAGGCTAGTTACGTAAAGGAAGGCATTGCTCTGCTCCCTCTTCCCACACCTAATCTTACCCGTTTTGCCAGATGTAGAAGCACAGTTAGGGTTTTGCCTGTTTTACACAGAATTCACAGTCAATTTCTATCAAATCTGAGAGTATCTTCAGAAATGGAGGCTACAGCACAATTCCTCCTCTGGAAATTTATAAATAAAAATCTAGTCAGCGGGCATTTCCATCAGAGTATAGGAGACAGGACTCAAGGACTGTAACTTTATGTGAATCCCAGCACAAGCAATATTCAGTATGATGGGTCAATCCTTCCTGCTGTACTTGAACAACCCTTCACATCAGGAGGACTGTATTTGTTTAACAGAACAGGAAAAGGGCAGCTGCATTAAATGTTAGTCCACACCTCGTTCATTACGTGCTCTCTCATTCTCAGCCTTTCCTCTTCCATTTCAACCATGTCATCCTCTTCATTTTTGGGGTCGTAGACTTTTTCCAGCTGAAATTCAAAATTAACAAATATTAGTCTGAAAAAAAAGGGTTGCTCATTCAAATGATAGAGCATATTTGGAATAGTAATGTGAGATAAGTTCACCATTCTTCCTCTTTTATTCACATATATATATTAATAAATATCTTATATATTCATGTATAATATCTTTTAGCATTGAATTTAAGAAACAAGTGAGCCTTTCACTGCTAAGGATGAAGTTTTCACTTAATTCATGTGGACTGCTGTAATTCAAAGCTGTGGACACTGCAATAAAATTCACCTTGACATGCAGTCTGATCCTACCTTTGACTCAAAGCAGAAAAAGGTTGCACATGATTTCTGGAACAGGGGAGGGGGGTTCTTTTACTAGAGCATAAAGCTGACCCTGTAAGCATTCACAGTATCGTGAGACAAACTGAGTGTTGAACTTAATGGTCCACTTCTCTTCTTGCACAGTGTATTTTTGGTGAATTCATGCTTATTTGCTTCTAGACTAACTTTGCTTTCTCAGTCCTAAGGAATTTCAAGGCCCTAGAGTAATTATTTGTTTTCAAATTATAAAATTGTAAAATGCTGGGACATACTGTCTAGTAAGACTGTCGTATATCTTAGGGGCTATATAAGGATCATATACCGTATTAAGAGGGGATTATGTCAAAGTGTTAGAAATCTTTATCTGCAAATTTCTTTTCTTCCAAAATTTATTACAGTCTGAATATATTAAGCTTGTGTGAACACTATATAGGACATTTCCTCCCTGATTCATAAGGTCTAGGAAAATTTTAAGACTAGATGGTGGCAGGCATAATAGTGGATCTCTGAATGAGAAATTCAGGGTTTTTTCTTCCTACACATTTGCATTTTCACAGATAAGGAACCAAGGCTTAAAGAAATTACGGGCTTACCTACTTGACCAGATGCACACGTGCTCCAAGCTAGGTGGACCCAACAGATCTGAGATCTCTGTAGCCAATTCCACAATATATTCCACAATATATTGTCCCTGAGCCAGTAAGCATGACCATGACCCTTTTTCTCTGTTACTATAGGCTTGTTACTATAGGCTAGCACTGAATGAGCACAGCTACCCAGCTTCAGAACCTTCACCAGGCTGCACCTAGCCAGAGCAGGTGAGCAGCTCTCTGCACTGCAAACTGTACAGGTATAGATATCCTGTAGATTACTTACAAAATCTCAGTCAAGAGCCTGTGGCAGAGGAATATGTGAGCGCTAGCTCTCTGATGTCTGAGTGCTTCAACTACTTTTTCCTGCTGATATGTTCTTATATTTTTAAAGAAGCTTTAAAGACAAAACTTGGCATGAGATTTCTCACTTGTAGTCCAAAGCCCCCAGATGTGCTTGGGAAGACTGCACACATTCATATAATCATTTACTGAAAGAGCTGAGGTTTCTAATTTTTTTTTTTTTTTTTACCTCTTTAGTAAATAGGGCTTCTAATTCTTGCTCATCCAGGAAGCCATCATTATTCACATCTACAAAAAGAATCATTGAAAATACAAACTGAATAAATACAGAAAGCAATATATGTAATAGTTCTCCATGTGTTAAGTTAAGTAAATGTCAGCACACAGTCTAGCATGGATTAAATGACTTATTTAATGAGATGCTGGTTACATAGGCCAGTTTTTCTGTTTAGTATTTAAACAAGCATTGGCTGAACTGTATCACTGTGTTTGGCTACCTGGCTCTTAACCACTGGTTGCGTAACCACTCTAGCTCTCAGATTAGCAAATTGAAATAGGTCACAATAGGCTTGTATACAGCGCAACTGCCAAAAATATTTCCGAAAAGAAGTAAATTTTCTCAGTCTAACATCTACATTTGCAATAGGACCAACAGGAATCTGTAGAAAAACTTTATTAACCAGCAGTATGACCTTTCAAATGGACAACAGAATTCTGCCAAAATCTATATAAATATGCAGTGCTTCCAAAGAGATCGTTGTAGAATGAGTTTTGATGATGAATGCAAATGAGAGAATACTTGATAACAAATCATCCATCTTTTATGCTACGTTCTAGTCTGAATGTTGTTAATAGTACCCCTGAAGCTCAAAGAGAATGACTACTTTAAATGACAGCTATTATGGAATAGTTTTGGTTAACTGCTTCAAAAATTTTGATATACTAATCTCTAAGACAAAAGATTATTTTGGCCACTTCTGTTTCAGTAAGGCTTGCACGAAAAAGCTACTGAAAAAGATTTCAGAAAATTATCTTTCAAGATCTCTAGAAAGAGAGAAGAAATATGGTCGGTCTATGTCAAGTACCTGAAATCTACAGTACACTTAATATGTTCATAAACAGAAATAAAAGGTCAGACTTAAGTTAGAGCACTTTTCTTCAGTCAAAGCATCTTCTGTAGTTTCGCTCAAATTCCATGCTCTGTTCAACCCTTCAAAACCTAGTGCCAGACATGCCCTGCTTAAGGGCACTTCATTATGCAGCAGTCAGGATATAAGGTTACACGTTTATCTAATCACATTTAAAGCAAAACGTCCATTGAGGTGAACGGAAAAAGTCTTTCTCTATGGTACTATTTCATCATTTCTAGTTGCAGACTACTCAAATGAAACAAATTTGGGGACGTTTTGGCTTTGTTTGTTTCTTTTTAGGGACTCCTGCAGTTTCTGATGGGGCTTGGTACTTCCATGTCTGTCCCAAAGATAAGGGGAGACCAGTGCTTACCCACAGAGAAGTTGAAAATGACTTCTCCCATACATTTCTGAGACCTTATCCCCAGCACACAGTGTGTGAGCAAAGTTATAATCAGACAGCCCTATAAGTATTCACGCTTCCCTGAAGAAGCGCTATTGATTACAAGCCAGGGCTACGTGATTTTATGACTATTTAAACAAAACTCTAACATCTACAACTTTTAAATCCCATTTGACACCTTACTGGTGCAGTAAATTTACAAACAATACAATTTGCTTTCTCTTCTACACTCTCTGGATCTATTGAAACTGCTTGAATTACAAGATTTCTTTCTGGCATAAGACAAACTTGCTGAACAAACACTCTTAGCAGAAGATAACAGATAGTCGCTCGATTTGTTTGTTAAATTAAACTAAGTCTCTTACCATGTAATTTGAAAAATGTTTTTGGATCAAATTCATTAGGATCTAGTCCATCTGCTTCTTCCCACACCTCTTTCAGTTGATCTTTGCTTCCCTATAGATTGATTACAAAGAAAAACTTTTCAAAAGATGATTAAGTGTAATTTCACTGCATTATCTTTACGTTACAGCTGCTGAAAAAGTTTCTTTTTTCCCTTTTTTTGGTTCCAACTAGAATCAATGGAACTGTCTTTAAAACTCTCTTGGTCATGTCTAATACTTACGCTAAATAGAAAGGCCCATGGAAGGGGGAGTGTCAAGAAAACACATACTCTGTGGAAAGGAACATCTGAAATAATGCACCATGGCTGGACAGGCTCATCTAGAAGTAATAACTGAAAAGGAGTTCAATCAGAGCAAATGGTGCTGCAATGCAGTTCCTTCCAGGTTAGGCATACCATGAAGGCATCCTTGCAGTTTTGAATAAATACCCTGCTGGCTTCTTCCTTATGAGTTTTAGCTTCTTTGTAAATAAGTGTTTTGCTAGCATATAGCATACCTGTACAGGAAAAAGGAGTGTACAGCAGGTTTTGTAATGCACTCAACGTTTTTCCCGTTCTCTGCTCCCAGTGATGTCAATGAGAGGAGACATAGGCAAATGCTGAGAATAAACAAGATATACCCTTCTCTTTATTAGCTTTTTCTCCCTGGTAAGCAAAGCTCCTTCTGAACTGTATGAGAACAGACTGTGGCCTTACGGGATGGTGAACTTTAGGGTGATCTCCATGCTTTTTCTTCATCTCTTCAAATTTGGATTCCTCTCGCTGTCTCTTTTCTTCATCTAGTGTTTTTAAATACTCTCTCCTCTCATGTTCTTTCATCATCTCGTATTTCTTAAATTCTTCATGGCGTGTCTTATCATAGTTTTCCAGGTCACTTGTAGCCTAAAAACAGATATATGCACACATAGGATTATGATAAAACTGTTGTTCAGTTCTGTGGACAAATCAGCCATCTGTGGACAAAAATAGCTCTATTGCCATTCTCCTGTTAAACATGAAGTAGACTAGTTGGGGGTCCCCTCTTACTTGACAGCGACGCAGAAACTTTTTCCTCACTTCCTCTGTTACTTTTACAGAATTCAATATGCAAGGGTTCAGCTGCTAGGCACCTTCAGAAACTATGTAGTCCTGTAAGGAGGCAGCAAGGTGCCCTTTCTCCTCAGTTAATAATCAATTAATTCAGGTTAAGTATGTCCTGTACCAATTATTAAGCACAACTTTGAATGGTACCATTGACTCCTTGTTTATTTCAGAATAAGAATATTTGTAGCTTATCCTACAGTTTAACACACCTGATTGTCTCTCTGTTATTTAAATTTCAGTTTTCAAAGTCACCATACTTTTTAAAAAAACAATTCTTAAAAAAAAGCCCCTAAAATACCCATTATACTCTGTCAATATCTCAACTGAGAAATGAGAAGGCAAGAAGAGAAAATATACAATAAGAGAAAACTGCTTAGCAGAGGATATGCCTCTCTAGCCAATCAGAGTTTTTCCATGAGTGATGCTTAGAAATGGCAAGAGACTTTATAAAACATGTATGTTTTACAGCAAACTAGGAGCGAATTTTCCAAGGGGAAAAATTGTAGTACTGTGGCAAGTTTACAGTATTCCTTATTTAGGAAAAAAATTTCTTCCCATTTACTTTGAAAACATTGTCAAATTCTCATCTCAGACTTGAAGTGCTCTCTACAGTGTATCTGACATAAAAGTCTCTTTCCTCCTTGGGAAGTGTATTTATTCCAGCAGCTGAAAAAAAGCCATGCCAGGCTTAACTTAATTGCATCTCCCTAATAAATATAGACTGGAAAAAAAAATGCCCGTGATTAGATACTGAATCTGCTAAATGTAATTTACATTGAATGCCATATGCCTAACATATGCAACTTCGAATGCCTATATCTGAAATTCTACCACGCTGTGGTTTTGCAGCTTGACAAGGACACAGTAGATCCCAAAATTCAGATGCCTATTTAGGGCACTTAGACTATTTAGGGCATTTAGACTATTTATGTCTTTTTGTGAGACACCTAAAGTCATTTAGAAACAGAAATCAGACTTCAGAAAGCAGAAAAAAAACTTGGGCAAAATGTGCCCCCATCAAAATTGTATTTAATTTAAATGCTCTCAAGGAAGTTGTATGTAATTCCCAAGTTGTTTGCAATGCATGCAAATCCTGTTAAGATGCCACTCCCAAAACTTATGGGCCCTTTCAAATAATGCATGCTGACGACAAAGTTTTGAAGCATGCAATGGGGACAACTGATTTTTTTTCTGAAACGAAATGCTGCACATCATTTATAAAAAGTGGTATACATAAAAGGATTTGCTTTAACCGCAGGGAAAAAGCATAATAATAGCAAAACAATCTAGAGTAGTTTATATTTAGCACTCACTGCTTTGATCAACATATCTAAGTCTTTAGGTTCAAACGTGTCAGGATTTTGATGGTTCAGGTGCTCAAACTGTTTAAGGAGAGCCTGATGGTCTAAGCCAGTGTCTGAAAGAAAAAGGTACAAGTGTAAAATATGTTAAAACAAGTTTGAAAGCAAGAGAGATCAAGGAGTTAAACTTTCTTATGGGAACTTCTGCCTTGTAAATACTTGAGGCTTCCTGAGGACTAGATAATTTTTCACTATCAGAGGAAACTGCAGCAACACTTCTAAAGTAGCTTTACCTGAGAGAGATCAACACATTTGACAGCAATTTCTACTATTTTCCTTCTGATATGTCAGCATTGCACTGTACACCATAGTTTAAAATGCAGAAATTGAAGCTTGTGGTTTGGCCAGCAACTGTACAAGCAAATTGAACTTCACATACCAAGACAGATATTTTGTTCTTCTGCTTTTTTGCACACATAAGGTATAAATAAACCTGGCTATGCTCCTGGTGAAGTTAGCTGTAGTATCAGACCTAACAACCTGCAGCTTTCTCCTGAACTAGGAGACGTCTGGCTCTCTACTGCCCTCTGTGTTTTGCAAATGACATATCTGGCCAAAGGTGCAAGTAAAATATGATATAAAACTGTATCAGAACAGATGAACAGAGAGATTCAAAGTCCATTTCTCCAAAACTAAAAATGCAAGACAGTGGGGAGTCGGTTCCTGTGTCTGAAAGCTGTAAACATTTCTCTTTTCTGTACGAGATGGGCTCTACCAACAATAAACAATGCATTGTAAAAACAAATTTCATTTCTACAACAGACTTTTCCAGAAGTTACCATGGTTTCTGAGAGTTATAGCTAGATAATAATACTCTTAAGCAGCATATACTTTGATATAGTACATGTAACAATTTTGACAAACTTTTACTAGATGGCTTAGGAAAGATGACTTGCTTGTGGGGAAAAAAAAAAGTTTGGAAAACATCATTTTAAACTTGTTACTCTTTGGTAAGTTATTTGTCTTGTACTCTATACTGTGTTTGGTATTATCACAAGCCAGCAAATACTGGCTGGGGCATACTTCAACCATCATTCCTCCCTAGTGAGATCATAATTTCTGTTGAAGTAAATACTCAATCTGTTTTTAAAACATTTTTGTAAGTGTAGTAATAGGTTTAAAAAAAAAAAATCAAAATCTCCAAACCCATTTTCCTCCACTCCTTATCTTTATGGAAAAAAGACTGAATCTATCTGATAGGATTTATTTGCCACATTACTGCCTTAGATATCTGAGACTTGACATGGGGAGAGAGGGGGGTGAAGTCCCCCCATCCCTGATATTCTTGTGTCCTGTACTGATCAGTCTAGCATGATGTCAGTTCAAATTCTTAAAAACATGATGGACCAGGACGGAATATATGGAAAATATAATCTTCATTTTGTTTTTTTTTTAACCTGATTGAGGGGGAAGTCAGTTTTTGATTTTTTAAAATATATATAAACAGTATACTGTTAAAAGCAAGGTAGAAGGCTGGTGCTGCATGGGAAAGATTAACAGAAAAAATAAAAGGAAATCCAATAGCTCTACACTTTGCAACTACAGAATGCACTTTTGTACATGTTCCAAGGTATTGCACAGGTATATAGATACAGTTGTATTTTATAGGTAATTTGGTTATACATGGTGTGAAGTACTTCCTGGCAGGGCCCATTATAAACTTTACAAACTATTTTTCCACTCTCGCTGTTTTCACACATTTGTAGTCATCTGAACCTTTTAAACTGGAATTAGCTACTCTTCCTGTCTCACATACGTAACATCTCGCACTTGTACAATAATGGAATGTATATATATGCCTGATCTGTTGTGGGAGAAAAAAAATTACTTTTCTAAAGCATGCTCTGTTAGTTACCCCTGATTTATGGAAGCAGAAAGGGCTTCATGCAATCAGTTCATTAAACTGTTGTTTTTGTTGTTTTAATTTAAATGTGTGTACATACACAGAAAAGCCAAACTTGTTGCACTTCTCTACTAGAAGTTAGGAAACAGTTCTGTTAAACCAGTATCGTTGGGGTTTTTTGCAAACAGTCAAGAAGCCTTCTAAAACTGTATGCTGCAAAGAAATGAGGATATTTTGTTAAGTGTATACTTAATGCATGGTTTTCTAAATGGCCTAGCTTCTGAGGCTTATGATATCATAGGTACCTGTAAGTGTTTTTTTCACTAACACACACAGCATACATACATCAATGTACAATGACTCAGTCCAGGTATAAGCTAAGGACATAGCAATACTGACCTTCTGGGGCAGCAGAGATTTAAAGATGATTGTAAACAGACATTCTGATACACAAAATTACTATTCATTAGCTGCTGTCAGCTAGCTCACCACCAGCGTCACCGTGACGTCACTGGAACGCTTGCCTGCAATAGGTGCATGAGATCAGGCTCTTGGCAGCTAAACAGCAGCCTGAGGAAGATGACCACGGGGTGGCACGTGTGTGAAGCAACGCACTGACTCCTCTGGAGGGGCTACCGCTGCACTGTACTCTCTGGCTACCAGTGGACTGTACTCTCTGCACTAGAACTTTCATTAAAAGAAAGCACAAAGGATAGAAAAGTGATCTAACACCCTCAAGCTAATTTTGTATAACTGTTCATTAATTATACTATGGTAGCACATAAAGACTTCATTAGAATGGTACTATACTCAAATTACCTTCTTTTCCAAATGATTTTGATCTTTTCCTGACACTAGTAACACCCCACACACCCGTATTTGCACATACATACTTTTCTCCAGCCTACTTGCTGCCTCTAAATTAGACTTAATGGTATTAACAGTAGCAGAACCTTATTCTTGGAATATTCTAAGATTGATCCATTACCAATTCAGTTCAGTAGGATCCCATCCCTAACTTGCAGAGGGCTTTTAATGCACAAGAAAATCTGCACAGGCAAGTTAAGCCTTTTATTAAAGCTTCTCTGAGAAAAAGATGGGTTTTTTGGAAATAGGATCATGCAGTTTTTCATTAGGATCTTTGTCTAGCACTGAATTCTCTTCAAAAAGAAACAGCGAAGAAATTTACTGATTTAGTTCTAACTGGAAACTTTGCAACGTGGAATTAAAAACTCTCCATTTCCCTTGCTCCTCCCACCCCCCACAGAATAATCAGAATCCTCAGAAACCTGTATGCTTTATTCATACAAAGAAATGGCCTAAGTTTGCACTATTGTATTACTAATTTAAAAAATGCGATGGAGAACTTTTCCATTCCATATGTTTTCCATTTTCTTAGACCTTAAAATTGCTACAAAAAATAATAATTAAAAAGAAGCTTCTGAATCGAAATGTTTATGTTTGTTATAAATCTTTTAAAAAACTTCTATTGGTGGTATGAGGCTTAAAAAGAAGAAAAGGAAAATTTAGTATTCTTTACCTATTAAAAAAAAATTTGGTTTTCTACTCTGTTAAAAAAAAAAAAAAAGGCAAAAAAGGCTGTGTCATGTTCTGTTCTTAAACACGGTCCTACCACGTTGCTAGCTCTCAGTGAGGAATGAGAAACGACACACCTGCCAGAATCAGGTTTAGCTATTTATAAAATATAGATGGCTTCTCTCCTTTCCCTAATTTTCTAAAAAAATGAACCCTTACTCTAGGTCAGCTTGAAAAGCAGGACACACTTACTTTCAGCTTACTTCAGTTGTTATTGTTGGCAACAAATAAAGCATAACTGATGGATTTTAGGCACCTGTCCAACACAAACCCATCTGTTAATTTTCCTAGTTCAATTTTGTATTCTTACCTTGAACAGAATCCATTTTAGCTTTAATTAACATTCTTAATCTTGCCACCTCTTGTCTTTTCAGTTCATCCAGTCGTGTTCTTACATGGTGGCTTACTAAATCAAGCTCTCTGCTTAGTTTTCCACTCTGTCAAAAAAAAAAAAAAAAAGTTATCTACAGAAACTAAAAGAAAGTAGGATTCCCACTAGACATGAGCTGCACAAGTCCTCAGTTTCCCTGGGCTTCAAACTGATGGTAGTCTTCGGCAATCCTGTAGCCCACGCTGTCAGAATCTCAAAAACTGTTCAAAGAGACTATTCCCATTTTGTAAGCCTATGGTTATAGAAACAGAGGGGAGTCCTAAAAGCTTTCTGAAAAGAGAATTTCTAAAAATCTTAATGCTCTAAAGAGCGTAAGACATTGAAGCAAAATCACCTAATGACATTTTAGAAGTGACAAATTTCTTGACCAGCTGTCCTCAAATTACTTCAGAAGAGCTGCAAGATGAACACACACAGTGCTATGTTTTTCGCCTTCTTGATGATGGTGATAAGACTTAAGAGGAGATGCAAGCACTGTGACAGCTACAAGGAGTACTACAATAATATTCTGTCAGGCTCTGGAAATGGATAGTAAACTTCAAGGGTTACACTAGATGTAGCACAGCAGGCAGAAGAGCCAAAATTTGCCAAAGGCAAATCAGGAATTTCTGTGAAAGGAAATGCAAAAGGCAGGATCTTCTTTTTAGTCTATCATCTTAGACCATGTTTCCTACCTGACCCTTGCCTAATCTGCAGCTTATAAAAGGGAATGCTGAACAACCCACTGAGAGCCAGGCAATGAAGTAGAAAAGACAAGACTGTGGTGAGGAATTGGAGGGAGTGCTATCTGGATGGCACCAAAGAAAGAAGAGCAGAGGAGGCAGCCACAGTTCAGTCTTATTCTTGCACACACTGACACTACCTCTAGCACAAGTCCTCAGTTTCCCCGGGCTTCAAAATCTATCTTTCTTGTAATTCTTTTCATTTATGACATATTATCCCCAGCTCAGCGGGGAGAAGTCTTTTTGTGGTGGTTTAACAGCATTCTAAACCACCTGGCAGGGAAAACCAAGTGAGAGCTATGCTAGCAGCTGTTTCGATGTCAATGAAGCTACACCAGCCTGTATGGAGTCTGAAAATGGCCTTATGTTACTGACAAATCCCCAGTCATTGCCTCTGGCTGACAACAGAAGTTTAATACTTTGACAAAGGTCACATGTTCATTTACAATGTAAAGGTGTTTTTAAGACTTCAATTTCCATTTTGGTGAACAGCTCTTTACCTCAACAAGAAATCTGAAATAACTTAGCTTTTTGGTAGCTAGGCAGAAGGTGGAAATTGTGCATTAAAATACAGATTTTCTTTATCCAATGGGATGTTCTTTAAGGAACAGAAGATCTATTGTCCTTTGACTAAAGACAAAGATCTCGTAAGAGTTCAATGAAAATGAAAGCAGAAATTTAAGCACACAAAAATTGAGAAGAATATGAAGAATAAAAAGGAAGAAAGAATACAGCATAAATCTTACGTGATTACGGGTTTAATTAGTCTTAATTTAACTTTTTGTACCTACCTTTATTTCTTCTATATCAGCGGTCTGGAGTTTCTCCCTGAAATGCTTATCTGTTTCCAAGACATCTATTACTTGCCTGAGATACTCATCGTAATAGAGCCCTGTATCCTTCAAAAAAGAATGTTAAATTTAGAAAAGAATATACGACCAAACACTTTATTTCATTTAAATCCAATGATTAAATTAAATTATACTGAAACTAGAATCTTAGCAACACAGGCACAATGCTCTCTTCCCGTATCTTCAGTTTTTCTGGTCTGCACCATTGCCCTACAACAGGTTATACTGTTATGATTCACTTATTTCAGCAACTGACAAGGAAGAGGAAAAGGTGTTTAAAAATGCACATCTTAAGCAGGTGTCTGTCATGCTAAAATAAAATAGTTTTTTTTTTCAACTGTGTAATTCATTTGTTACATAAATCAATAGCAGTTCAGAATATTGCCCATGCTCCAATTCCCCCCAAAACAGAAAAAACTTTGAGGTTATTTAATGCATTTCCTAGAAAACCTTTTATAAAGGCAGCTGTCCCCAATCTCCAAAAGCAACTGCCAGAAGTTTGACTTGGCATTAATCTTCCTGTCTTCCAATAAATAAACAGGTAATACATATTTGGGAAATGTTTAATGCAAATATGGGATCCTTGAAACTGCATTGCTAAGGACAGACAAACCAGAGCTCCAGTAAGGGCTCAGCCTAATAGGTAGATTTTACACTAGATCAATTAATGTTCCTGTGGCATAGCCTGTACTCCTATCTTTTTTCCCACGAGGGTTTGGGACAAAAAAAACACTCTCCAGAACGCCACTCCATTGAAATAGGGACTGTGCGAAGACTGAATAACCCATTTTGAAAAACATGCTGCTTCAACTACAGAGTTTATTTGGCTTTCAAACACTGCTGTTCATCAATTAAAAGCTCATACTGGAGTTCTGTTTCTTGACAAAAAACAATCTGCACTTTAGCAAATAGAAGATCTCAAATGTCTTCACTTAACACGCTTGCAGTTTTCACAAACACAGTTTGCTGCTGAGAAAACTTCATGCCAGTAAAAGTCAACTGTATTCCCCTGACCAAACGTTGTCCCGTTCTCTTTGAAGCACCCAACCGGAATTGGTCTTCTTATCCTCAAAATCACTGAGTGGAATTTTTCAGGCCATCATCATAAGTAGTTCTTCCCATCATAAGCTGGGGGATTCATTTCATTTACCACCTCACCTTTAGCAGCTCAGGGAGAAGAAACTAAGAATTGAAATGCCTCAACATCATAGATGGTAGATCATGTGACAATATTGGCAAATATTAGTTTCCCTTCTGCACGTAACTCCAGTACATTTAAATTTCAAGATACGAGTTTGCTATAGCTAGATTACTGACAACTAGCACCAAATATTTAATTAGATTAATTTCATTTTACTTACTGGATTTTCTATTTTTTCTCCTTCTGCATGGGCTTCTCCTTTAACTTTTGTCTTATCTATGTCTATAGGTACAGCTTCCAAAGCCATTAGGAGACATGTCATCAGCAAAATACACTGTTGTGGCAGGACAGATTGCCGCTTCATCTGAAATAAGAACAATTCACAAAAACTAACATAAATGATGATCGTGTACTGTATTGATTAGAATTCTCTGACATTCCTACACAGACACCAGTAAGTACCTGCTACTTCTCATACATTCTACTGCTCTTAAGGAAGACTGCAACGCAAGAAAATTAAATACAAATGTTAATTTTTAAGGCCTTTATTTCACAACTAGATCTCCCCATACTACCAAAGCTGTAGGTAATCTGGCAATTTTGTAGCAAAACTAAGTTGTACTCTAAACAGGGAAAGGATTTTAACATGTTGTCAATGGCTCTGTGGAACAGGTGGGAACACCCAACGTTTTACACTTGTTTAGGATTGTTGTCTTAGGTTAATTAATACTGATGTTACTATTCTGATCCTATCTTTGCTGAAGTTACTCGCAAATTCCTAATGATATGAGTGGAAGCTGAATCAGAACTTTGTTTAGTAATGCCAGTAGTTTCATGTTTCAGTTATGAAGTATTTACCATATTTGGAGTCAAGATCCTCTCCAACCTTTATCTCCAGGAAAAGTATTGTATAATCCATGTTATATCCATGTTTCAAGTTGACTGGGATTCCCAGAAAAGGGGTTCACACTACCTCAAACATGTCAGTCTCCCATAGACTTTTTTTGGTGTCTGACATGGGGCAAACTCACACATAGTTTGATGAGCACGGAACACTTTTGAGAGTTCCTGCCCTATATCTAGCTGCCTCAAAATTTACTCAAAATTCAAAGGAACTCTGTTCTGACGCTTTCCCCACTCTATCAAATGGGGCTGAAAACTGCCCAATTCATTCAAAAATTGTTAGGATGGAATACCTAAATAGCATGAGTACAAAAAACTTGTTATTACAGAGAGTCCAGCTAAAAAAGTAATGATGGTAATCCAGCATCTGACCGTGAAGATAGGCTCTTAATACAATTTGGCGATTACTGTGACAGTGCCCAGTCTTTGAATATTTTATAAAAGCTTCAGCAAATTCAACTGCTAAGTTAGCAATATAAATCACCCTTCGGAAAGAAAAAGTTGTTAGCAGAATGCTGTCTATAATTAGCTTAGCTATGTCAAAGAAAAAGACATAATATTCAATAAACGTGCAGTCAGACAAATCAAAAGCACACTTGCTACAAAAAAAATTTCTGTACAAGTGTTTTAATGAGCCATGTAAATAATTCTGTCACCAAGTATTTAGGCCCACTGGCAGCAAATCATTTTTGAGACAAATGGTAATTACAGTGTCAATGCCAGTTTCCCTGGCTGTATGCTATGGTGCTCAACAGTGAAGTGTTACTTTTGCTTGGAATAAGCTGTCTCTTTCCTGAGGGGATAAATGTAGGATAGTGTTTTACCACTATTGATACCCTTTATCCGCATAAATAATACCTATAAGAAAGCACTCTCACCAGGAAAAGATTGAGGCTTACATACAAGATGTGCACAGACGTTATCATTTCTTTTGTTGAAGAGTACAGCATAGGTGGAGATTAAAATATCACTTATCCATCTTTTGTTTTACATGTCAAAGGCTTGAGAATGACAAGGATTCTCTGAAACTATTTTCTTCTTAGTGCAATACTCAGCAAAAGGAGCCTAGACAGATTCTGCTCAGTTATAGCAAATAGCTGCTACTTTCATTTAGAAAATGACCAGCATCTGATCATTAGCAAATGGCAGGATCTATTGTTGCTGCCTTATTGAGCATATTAGATTCAATGTCAGCACCACTGTCAGATCTACAAAAGCAAGTCAGATTATGTTTGCCTCAGTCATTCTTTTAAAATTAAAAAAAAAAGAAAGACAGACTGATTTGCTGGAACCAGTAGGTTAATTTCTGTACAAGCTGTTGGCTTGCACTGACTTTATAGGCGCTGATGCATGTAGGATTTTGCTACTCATACTTGTTTTTAAAGATGCCCAAGTTTCAATAAGAAATATCTGCTCTTTTTAATTACAAAACACTTTATTTTATAAACGCTGTGCTTAGGTTTGTAATTTTAACAAGAGAATATAAGATTCAATCATAAGATACGATAATAACTAACAAATAGCAGGTTTCCAAGCCTCCTGGACTTGATGTAGATGTCAAGCTTGAGTACTAACTGGATGAGTTCTATACACCGAATTTCCAAGGTAATGGACTCGTCCAGAAGTTTTCCTTCCTATACTCATACATACCGGATCTTTAAGGCAGGCTAGACTACTAGGGTAGATCAACAAAGCTGCCAGGAAGTCCTGAACTGTACTAGAGCTATCAGTTGAGTTTTTACCTGTAAGTGGCACGGCTTACGGTTACCACACAGCATAGCTGACGGTGACATGAGCTAATATATGCTATGTGAGCCATCAGTTCCTTTAGCTGGCAGACAGCCATCATTCTACAGTCACCTCAGAATTTCTTCTGTTTTGCATGGACAAAATCACATAATCTTGTCTTCCTTTCTCCAAAAGTAGATTGCCATGTCCAGTGTTAGAGCCACTCTTTGAACACTAGCATGTTATTTTATCTTTACCGAGGCACTGTGATACGTCTGCTAACATACAAACACAGCTGGATCCTATTATAGACTTGAATGCAACAAATGGAAAGCAGAAAGAGCTTAACCCATGCAGCAGGTTGAATAAATATATAAAATAGTGTTTCTGTAACCAGACTACCTCTAACATGACCAGTCCTCATATTTATAATCCAAGCTTCCTCAGGAACATACTAACACCTCTACTGCATAAGAGAAAAGGACCTTCTAGCCCTGGACCCTGTCTGCAGAGACAGGTGCTTAGGGATGGACATGAGAAAAGAGTGATATTTACTGTCACTTCCAGACTCCCTTAACCTGTGACTTGGGGACTTTCTTAGCTTCAGGTTTTACCTTTTAACAAACTGCAATGGATTTTTCTCTCAAAAAATTGTTCAGTTGATTTTTTTGAAGCATAGTAAGTTTGTAACATCTACAACAGCCAACGGCAAATAGCTCCGCAGATAACACATTGTGTGAACCATCTCCTTTTGTTCTCGACCTGCTACTTGCTTGCTTTATTTATTAATGTCCTACGTTCTTGTATTGGAAGAGACAGTGAACAATGGATCCTTAATTACTTTTTCCATATTACAGCTCCCTAGCAATGATCTTAGCTTTCTTGTAAAACAAACAGGTCATACAGCGGGGCTGAACCAGGGTGGAGAAGCCAGGAACCCAACTGATAGCCATAGTTAAGGGCATTGACTCATTTTTTGCCTACAGCAAGTACTAAAGTCAACGCTTTCAACACTGACGCTTGTTTTTTAATCCATTTTATAGACTACATGAATAATCTTTCTAAAGCTGCCTACCTACAACTTCTAGTGACATGAAAAATGATGGAGATGGTGATTGTCACTTTAGGCCTCAGTTACAATACATTGTTAAATCTTTAAGACTTTTTCCCTCGCTACTCAGGAAAATGATACATAAAATGCCCAAGCTGAAGTGAATCAACTGAGGCATAAGCAGACATGATGGTCTACCAAACCTCATGTGAGGAGCACTAATCTCTAGCAGAGGTTTGAGATGGGCAGCTGGAACTGTAACATGTGAAACTCTCCCAGAGCTTATCTGTCAAAAGCCCTAATCAAACTAAGTGCCACCAGATTTGTTGACTTTCAGTGGGATTTGTGCTCGTAGGCAATTTTGGTTGTCTCAGAAATACCAACCACTGTAATTACACACTGTCACACAAAATAGGAAAGATTGGATTATATCACACTTACGTTCTTCACGTTTATCTGGTGTCACATATCACCCTGTAAAGAAGGCTATCTACTGCCCATTAGGCAGTTTTATTTCAAGTTGTGCATAGGTTATCTTCATTGTAGCCATTTGATAAAATAGGTCAAAAAAACCCAAACCAAACCACACCAAAAATCCCACACCCTGTAAGTACCAAGAAGAAATAAAAATCAGAGAAGATCAAAATGGATAAGCAAACAAACAAATAAAAAAAATCACAAACCTTGCAGCTAATTTTGCAGACTATTAAGCTTAACATGGGATTTTCGGTAGTACTTTGAGAAACCCAACTGTTTACACAATCTGTCCTATAATGAATAATTTGGAAATATGTTTATTAAAATAGCAAATAACCACCTAGTGAAGACAGAGTTACTGAATTTAGACATATTATAGTCCAAGACTACATTAATCAAGACTACTTCTATAAAAGCAACTAAGATGTGTCACTCTTTAGAGTGTGACAGTCAAAACTGTGAGTCACTGAACACATTCTACTCTGACACGTATTAGAAGAGATAAACCAGGCCCAATGCAAAATCTGATATTAAGTTAGCTGCAAGAGAAAACTCAGCATGATTCTCAATTGCAGCAACTGGAGGGAAGAGTGACAAGCGGGTGGATGAGGGGAAAACTAGGATTCCAGGTTTTGCTCCACTGAATACTTCACTATTAAGAATTCACCCCGCTCTCAGCCTTTTATCAGCTGCCTTCAGCAGCTTCCCACTTTTTGTGAAATCTGTTCCTAGATGCCCATCCCTTCACAGACATTTTGGAGGGAATCTACAAATCTGATTCACGGATGTGGTTTCTTCTACAAGGATTAGGTGCTGTCAAGTCAACAGAGGATCACAGTACTGCAGAAGAGAAGCAACGTTTGCATTTTAAAAGGAAGACTCATGCCAATTTGGTCATTGTCAGTAGTGGTACATAATCCACAGCATACGTCCTTGCGCACAGATGGCAGCCTTGCTCTGCCCTATTATTAGTTCTCCTAAAGCTATGTCATTTAATAGAAATACAAATTACGTGTTATGAATCTGCCTAGCTGACTTTAATAACTCACTGGTTGCTTTCTTATGGACAGATGGACAGAGCTGGAAATAAAGTGATTCCAGAAAAGGCCATGTAGCCCACCTAGATGAAAAGGTAGAATGACTCTAATCTACAGATGTCAGAAATCAAATAGACTCATGTTTCCAAATTAGCTAAGCACCACAGTGCTAGAGGGATAAACAAAT